CAGAGCCTGTGATGCTATTGACGTGTGACCCCACATATGTCGGCTTGGGACGCACTCGCACCCCATTACTCGTGACCCGGAGCCACCAACCTATCTATATCCCACCAACCTATGCTCAGTCGCCCGTACAGTCCTGCTCAACAACATACGCGTCCACCAAGAACCCACACACACACACACATATGCATACACACACACACACACACACACCTACATACACACACACACACACACACACACACACACACACACCCCTGGGGGACAATACTTTTAGGATAACGACCACTTCTGCATTATTGATCCTGATGCTGGCTCTGTTCCTCTGGATTAAAACGCTCCAGTTTGACCAGGAGGGATGGGGATTGCATCAGGGACACACACACATACACACAAACACACACACACACATACACGTGCGCTGTGTGTAGTTTGGTGGTCGATATTTATACATCATCATTCCTGATGCAAGAGTCCCGCGAGTGTGTGATTGCATGTCCACTTTCATGCCTGTTTGTGGGTTAATGTCCACCTTCTGCTGCCAGCGTGTGCTCTGTTTGTCTGTCTCTGTGAGGACCGGCTGCAGCTTCACACCTCGACCGGGAGGACACGTTTAAAAGTGAGGACGTTGTTTAAAAGTGAGGACGGTGTTTAAAAGTGAGGATGGTGTTTAAAAGTGAGAATGTTGTGTAAAAGTGAGGACACGTTTAAAAGTGAGTTTGTACATTGAGAGCAAAACTGGAGTCAGATTCCTTGTATGTGAACAGACCTGATCAATAAAGTGATTCTGATTTCTGAAAAGTGAGGAAAGGTTTGAAATTGTGAGGTTTTTTTTGAGGACTTTTGTAAAAGTGCTGACATTTTTAGAAACTGAAAGTGAGCGCATGAAAACATTTTTATAAAAGAAGACTTTTAGAATCATCCATAAAAAGGACATTTTTGTAAATTAAAAATCTGGACACTTAACATGTGAACACTTTGTAAAGTGAGGACGTTTTTCTGGTCTTCTCTAGTTTACTGGGCTCCTTGAGGTTTCAGACTCTGTTTGAGGGTTCAGGTCCATGTTAGTCTTCATGGTCCTCACATGTAGAGTAAATAGTGAAGCAGTAGACAGAGAAATGAGGCTGATTCTGGAGCAGTTCAGTCTCAGATTTAGTTTCTTCTAAAACTTTTTGTTTGTTGCTCTGAAATATTTTTCGCTCCTCTTTTAAAAATATGAAAACTGTCCCGCAGAGATCTAACCGCTGATGTCACACTGCGATGTCGCTCCGCGGTCCAATCAGCATTCAGCTGCTCCTCGCTCTGGACGCGGGCCCCTAACACGCCCTTGACGGGGTCTTATCGATCCACGGGGACTCCAGCCGACCCGTCTGTCAGGTCTGACTGTAGACCAATGGGGTGTCATGTAGTGGGAGGTGGAGGTGGAGACGTGTGGGGGTGGGGGGGCGGTGTCAGGATTATTGTCTCCAGTGTGCCGTCGCTGTGCCACATTAGGGCCTATTGATCGGTTTCCGTGGCTGACGCTTTGTCGAGGAGCCGCTTGGTACATCGATTGGTGACATGCCGGCAGGGCCGAACCAGCGGGGAGGGGGGGTGATATGACTGGGTGGGGGGGATACTAAGTGGGAGGTGTAACTGGGAGAACTGGTGGAGGTTAAAAAGTGTCATTTTATTTAATGTCACTGAATTTAAACGAGTGTTGGCATTGGTTAACGAGCAGATCTCTTCCATTTTGGACAGAATGAGCAACTGGGAAGACTGGGAATTTGCACCAGTAAAGTTCAGTATCGACTAAAACAGGATTCATTATGGATCTTAATCTAATTTACAGACTTTTATTATTTTAGTTTTACATGCTGACATTGATTTTTAGGCATTATTTGACTACTGGTCTCTGGATGTCTGCCTCTGTAATGAACTGAACTTTGTAGGAACCTGAAGGCAACACACTACATATACATAATGTATAAAAGTAATGTATAATGTAATGTATAATATAATGTTTAATATAATGTATACAGGGCAGCAGGTCAATAATAATTCAGCTGTGAGCATTTTTTGGGTGAATTTGTATTTTAGAGAAATGAAGAAAAAGAGCTTTGTGTTTATTTTGACTTTGTCCTGAACAATGTTGAACAGTAATAATACAAAAATATAAACAGATTGTAAAACACAAATGAGCTGAGATGTGAATTTTAAAGCTGTTTTATGTTGTTTAATTTAATTTTGTAACAAATTAAAGATTTAATTAATGTCCATTCTTTCGTAGTTGCAGTTTTCTTCTGTTGAATGTTCAGTAAAGTGTTTTAAGATGAAACCATCCATTAATTAAAATACTACAAATACACTTTAGATGATTGTTCACAGATTATATAATAATAATATTTTCAGAGTCGATCTTAAGGTGTCAGGAAGAGGAGGATCTGGAGCTGAGAGAACTTGAGGAATGAATCCGGGAGGTCGGCTGGCGGACTCGAGTGGAATTTGGAAATATTTGGGGGTTTTTCTTGGCAGAGATGCCGTTCGCAGGTTCAGATCCCACACGGGGGTTCTGAGTGAGTGAAAACCGGAAAAGTGGGAGGATCTGGAGTCGGCTAAAGACCGAGCCGCTCCACTGGAAAGGAAAACACATCAGTGCTGCTGGAGGAGGAGGAGGGTTGGACGGTTTGAGGAGAGAGTTTGAGAACATTCTGAGGTTAGAAACTGGGTTGATTCATTGAGTGTTTGATTTGCTTTCTGTTTTATAACCGGACTGTAAAGTCGGAGCAGGTTTCTGGACTCAGTGGGTCAGAGGAAATGTTTGTTTCTAGTGGAACTATTTGTCAGGAAACAGAAAGTAGTTCTGGTGCGTAACTCGCCCTGAAACCACAAACTGGTTCTGTTTGGATCAAACAAGTAGAGGTGGGGAATAATCGATCTTGGATGCATCAAGATCTTAAAGGATAATGACTCGATGCAGAAAAGTATCGAGTTAATAGGAAATTGAGCATGTTTATTGTTTATTAGTTTATTCGTCTTTTGTAAGATTTCTTCAGGACAGCACTGGGTCACAAACGCTCATATAATTGACCTCACTGCTGTATATGCTAAGTGTACTAGCTGCTATTAGCTAGTTAGCAGTCCTATTAGCTGTCTGTACCCGGACTGGGAGCTGGAAGGACAGGGGCAGTTTAAACACTACTAGTGTAGCAGCAGAGGGACCCAGCGGGGAATACTGCCAGGGAGCAGGGCCCGAATGAGCCACAGAACCGGAGTGGGGCCCGAATGAGCCACAGTAACTGTTAACGTTATCCATCGTATCGATCAGTCCACCAGGATTAGTTTCAGTGAAGTTGGAAGTTATTTATTCTGTGTGTTGAACAACCAGACTGTGTGATGTTACACTGTGTTACTGCTTGTTCTGATTCACAATCATTACTGCTGATTAACAGGTTATAATCAATACAGTGATATCA